TCACCTCTTATAAAAAGAAGGAGCTTCTCTTTATATAATTAGTGTAGGTAACACAGGGAAACACCGATTTTGATGCGGCAAATGTTAAAGCTGTTTTTGATAGGCTTTTTTGTGCTGATTAAGAATACGTAATTATAAAGTTTCCATCAACTCCAGATTTTGAGAAAGAAATCGCGTTTTTGCAATATTTGAGAAGCTCTTCTCGTGAACGGCTGTACCGATTTTTTTTAAATTTTGGACACCTACTACTTTCGATATATTAAGGGAGCGTGTCATCACCCATACATATCGAATTTTTCATACCGTATATATCCGGAAGTATTTGTGGTAGTGTCCTGGAAATTGGTATAGAGATTTTGGGGCTACTGGAACAGGGGCGTGGCGCTTTCCAAACATATTGACACTTTTACCTATCTGTAAATATATACACCCAGAACAGTGTTTTTTTCTTTTTCATAATAAATTTTTTTGTTAATTTTTTATAGAAATATAGTTCATTTTGCATCAAATGGCACCAAATTTTGAGTATGCAGTTTTGTAGTACACTCAATTTCAGTATCATAATGTGCAAGTTTTTGAGAATTTTTTTCGCTGATAATATTGCGCATTTTCTGCGTAACGAATGCAGTATGCAAAAGACTTATTCTGGTGGCTTAACTCCTCCTAAACGACCGAACCGATTTTAATGATAATTTTTAATTGATAATTTTTAGTGGCGCTGGAGCCAAAATCGACGATTCGGAGGCACTAGGGATCAAAGTCAAATTACTCCTGTTAAATCAACCATCAGAACCATTGCGGTCCTTGCTTTACGGTGACTAAAAAGAATGTGGACCAATGATACTCACCAGTTTGGAAATTGCCGCCAACTGTACTATACAGATCCAAGGACGATTCACTATCGAGCCGCAAGGGCTTCTTCCCTGTATAACGGTTTCGTCAGGTTACTTAAGACGGCAATCGAGGATATGCCTTCTGTCGACCACAAAACCCAACGTGAACGTGAATTGCTGGCGAAAACGTTGGACCAAATGTTTCAATAAAAAAATTAATTTCGGGCGGGACGAAGTCCGCCGAGTCCGCTAGTTTTGTATAAAATTTTAATTTTTTTTTTTGTAACAATGTTATGAACAAATAGAAATATTTATTAATTCTCGATAAGATTTTTTAATCGTTTACATTGAATATCAACAAACAACACCAGAATATAAAATTCACCATGGAAACGGAAGAGGAAAGAAAGATTAACTATCTGGATTTAACAATTAAAATAAACGATACCACGAACAAGATAGAGTTCGAAATATACAGAAAACCAACAGCCACAGACACAATTATACACAATAGCTCAAACCACCCACAGCAACACAAAAATGCAGCATTTAAACAACTAATAACGAGGCTTGAAAGGACCCCTCTAACAGAAGAATGCTACAAGAAGGAACTGGATACAATATATGCCATTGCGGAAAATAACGGATATAGGAGAGGCCTGGTGGAGAAGTTAAGAAAGGACACAAAATCGAAAAAGACTAGCAAAGAG